TTTTTTCAAACTCACCCCGGATAAATTTCAACAGTTCTCTTAGATCCAAAATATTCCCAGAAATTTTCCAGTTTTCCACAATCTTCCAAGCATCGTATAATGGGGCAATATACAAAAAATTAACCACAAAGAATTTGCCTTATTTTTACCTATAATTTACAAACCACATCTACGATTACAACAACGACAATATACCACTCGCCATCACCATACACCTCACAAATGACATCTAACATCCAATCACCAATAACAAAGCTTTTATGCAGAGTTTTGAAATGGGCAAGTGAACGACTGATGTTACTGGTGCATATTTAAAAATACAAGAAACTAATGTGCACAAACAACCGCACAAACAATCAATTCAACTACGAATGACAACCAAATCAAATCATACTAAATTTTATCTAATCATTGAATGCCACACAAAAGACTACTATCAATCTATTCAGAAGTGAATACAGCAAAAATTGCGTTACACAGAGAAAATATTGTGACGATAGAACCATAGAGTACAGAATAATCATAAAGACAGAATTTATTCCACAGAAAAAAATTAAATTTTTAAATTGTTTCACGAACATTCTAAGGCCATCTATCAGCAAGTGGACATCGATTTCGACCTGAAACACAGCCTGAGGTGTCCACTAGGCTCTGATTTACCTATTTTCAAGAAAAAAAAAGGAAAAAAACCGCAAAAAACCCACAAAAATCCCCCTCACAATGAACTTCTCTGCAGCACACTGAATTTACATTGCAGTAAAGAAGTGACATGGAACATACGGCAAGAAGCCAAGTTGGCGTAATGCCAATACCGTAATGCATACAATCGTTTCGAAACAAAATTTAATTTGAAATTTTCAGAAATATGAAGTTACTATTGTGTGATTGAGTCCCAACACGATTGTCTGATTTCTGTAATTGGCACCCATGCCACACCCTAGTTGATTCCACAGTCTGTCACATCTCAATAATTCAACTCAGATATTTTCCTTTCAACATTCAATCATCAATCCTCTGAATGTTATGCAACGAAAGTGCACTCTGAAGAGTTTTCATAAGCGTTTCAGTTGAAGAGATTCATTCCACTTGCAAATCTCACGTTCATCGCTAATCACTCAAAACTTCAAATAATTGTTCAGTGGCAATCTTCAGAAGAGATCACTTTCAGATTAGCTGCAATCGAGGCCAACGCGAATCAAAGTTGAGTTATCTCAATTTTTAAATTGTGAAGCGATTTTTTAAACACATTTATTATTACATCTAAGTTAATACTGATTGTGTGTTTTTATCAACTGCAATAGCACGTTTAGTGTTCTCACAACTGAAATTGCCAATCAGTTTGTTTTCATTACTTGTATTCGATGATCATGAATTGGATTTTAAATAGAACGTCACTGTAACAGTTTCGAATGCAGTATGCTTGCTTATATATCTGCAACGTCCAGCACTCGTGAATGTGTAAAATGTTGTGTGTTATGTTTGGCAATAACTTAAGCCAGGCTCTGTTCCATTCGAAAAAATATTTGTGAATTCACTTGGAATAGTAACTGATCATATTTATCAACATTTCACTGAAATTATAATCGAATGAACCATGAACATTCTGACTGAACCAAACAATCTCATCAAATCATGTTTTTCCATTGATGCGTTTATCAACTGTTCAACGACAATGAAAGTTTACACTTGGCGAGAAAATTGTAATAAATAAATTTATTCAGATTCATTGATTGCTGAGCAACAAGCATATATTGAACGTACAAGGATTTCTTGTGGCCATACCATTGCATGTGTATATCGTTTTCAATCAAGTCCGCAGCATTAATCGTAAGATCAAATTCAGCCTATCATAGCTATTCCCTGTTCAAATACATTAATTTCAAAAGATTTTGCACAAGCTTATTCCGGAAAAAGTTAACAAATTTTCCACTTCAAAATTTAAACTGAATCATCGCATAAAAACCTTACCTACACTACAGTTGGTAAGCGCCGATTTCTAAAACATCCGAATTACTTACCATTGCCTTCTCCGATTAGCGATGATTAGGTCGACGAAAGAAAGGTCACATTTTTGTTGCAATCGAAACTTAAGGTACATCACCACATGCAAGGTACAACGATATGATCGCGAATGGACACAACAGTAACAACAGAAAAACGTTGCAAAGTTAGGGAAAGTTTTTGAACGATGAGATTAAGATAACAACCAAATTACGTTACATACTCAAATTCATGTCAAAACATTTAGGGAAACATCGTCTTGAAAACGCCATGAACGATCTCTTCTCGTTCGCTAGCAGAAAAAAATCTCCCTGAAGTCAGATATTCTGAATTCATGAAAACAGATTTCTAAAACGGTAACGAAGCCATTCAAATCATCAATAGCGGTCGATCCTATGAGAACTGCCGATGCAGTCTCTTAGGAACGGTAAATGTGAAGTACGGGGATTGCCCTGTGAATCTGAAAATATCCTGGAGCTGTTATATCTGAGAGAAACAACTGATCCACATGTTTTGCTCATCGAAATAAAATGGAATTTATCACATTACATTGTTGAATACGTATTGTAACAATTCATACGAGACAATAGGCTATGATGAAATTGTTCAGATCATTCTACAGTGGTTCAGAAGAGCTTCTTTGGAAGTGTTCAACTTGTACTGATGCACCCTACGAAATAATATCAAAAGCTATTGATCATTTTTCAAAAACAAGTGAACTGTTGAATTGAGAGAACTGTCTCACATTTGTTTCACTCAGTAAGTAACGTGAAATTCAGCGAAGAAACTGACTGAAATAAAATTCGAAAAGGCCTCGTCAACCATCATAGAAATGTATCGACGACTCAACAGAGCACATGAGAATTGCGATTGACTGACTGATATGATTACGGCGATGAAAAAGTGAAAAAAAAGTCAAAGAAGACCACAATGAATTGGAAATAAATTAGACTGCAAGCAATACCGAAATATGTATAAGATGAATCGAAGTTATCATAAGAATAATATCGATAATAATGACGACGACGATATAATAACGATAATCATAGTTAAGATAGTTACAATGAAAGTCATAAAAATACTAATGATATCACATTGTGCAACACGACATGGCCATTCTACGGTTGCTGATGATGAAATACGCACGACTCGAAATCTAATATTACGTCTGAGACAAAGCCCGAATCAAAATCACATACACTTAACATTTTCCGTTCTCAGATGCTCGAAATCAAAACTGAATGTCTCCGAAACGTTTTCATTTCAAACGAAATACATCAACAATGATTTCATAAATAACAGTTTGCAGATGAGAAACACACCATAAGACGCTTCACAAGCAACATGAAGATGAGAGACATAAAAAGGATTTGGTATGATGAAAATAATATAATTTTACTGTTATCACAAACAACAGAACTGATCGTCAAACCAACAATGTTTCATATATACATTCATCGTTATCAATTACATTGTTAATACAATTATTATTATTACTATCATTATTATTAGTATGATCATTATTATTAATATTATATTTTATTATTATATTATTGTCATGATACATAAGAAAAATTAAAATGGATGGCTATACTCAGCAATAGTCTCAAAGAATTTACGACGTTCACTAACCGGCACTGCTAACGACCTACGCATCTCGTCGACAATATATTCCGGCATTGCATCCATCACTGGAATTGCTGGATTACTGTGGAAGCGAATATCTGAAAAATTTTCCGGCTCAAACTCATTTGACGTTAAACCTTCAAAAGATGACTTTTTTGGTATCTTTTAAATCGCCTCTTGTAAATATACTCATTCAAAATTCATCAAATCTGAGTATCTCGCATAACCTTCGTCGTTTTGCCATATTCAACTATCTTAGAATTAATACCACAAATACAAGATAATGAACGATATCGCTATTGAATGCAATAGGCAAATGAAAGTAAAAACAATGAACAATTAGTGCGATTGATAAATATTGATAAATAGAAAACAGATCACGAGATAAACACTGTCTGATTGAAAGAATGAAGATGGTGAAGAGTAAATGACGATAATACGGAATCAAGGAAAAACAAGTGTGAATTACCACTAACCATTACGACGAGATGCGATTTTATGCGAATTCAAATACTGCTGTCTCCTAAATCGAATCGTTTGATTGGAGCTGTTGTTGTTGTTGGGTGGTGACGGGGTTTGTGTTAACGGGGCTGGTGGCGCTGAATTGATCANCTGCTGCTTGAGTGAGCTGTTGATCCGCTAGAACCGCACTGGACTCCACTAGTGGCGATTCGTCGACGATGGGAATCACTTCAAAAAATTCCGATCATCAATTCGAGATTCACCGAATTCGATCAAAATTCAAACTCATCGAGCGAAATTGTAAATAATCATTCAAAATCAAAACAAAAAGGTTTGCCAGAAATCAAAACAATCAAAAGGTGTCATGAAGTTGTTAAAAAAGAAACATGCTATCACCAAGCGAACTGAATAGGAGAAAATCGCCTACGCGGAATCATAAACTGTAATAATCCTCATCATAATGATAACTTTCTTCTATGATTTTCAACGATACTGAAGATATTCACTGACTCAAACACCTTGCGATACGAAAAGAGGATTCACGGCAGCTTCGAACAAAACTTGAATCAGGTCGATCTTCAAAATACAACTCAAACTTTCATTGCCTTGTTCATCACTAATTGCAAGTGTTCACGCTAGCCAGCATCCCACTAACACTTACAAACGAAATGAGATTTTGCATTAGTCTCCGAACAAATACGGGGGATCAGGGTTGAGCTTCCATGCAAATTTGTTCACAGTTCAATTACAGAAAACAGTTTTCGATGAAACGTCATTGTGAAATTGGATAACTGAAGGAAAAATCATCATGCGATAAAGGGTTGTATAGAGGAATGAAACTGAAAACAATTGACTGGGAAGAAACCATTCGATATCCAGTGGAATCGATGAAGTTTTGTTGAATCTAGTTCATGAATCAATTAATGATCAGCTCATTAAATCAAGGAATTTCGAAGTGCAAAAGAGGAAAACATTCCACGCGTAAAACAAAATCAAAGTCACATCAATCAAGCAAGCATCACCAACATTTTTTACACAACCAAATTCATAACCAGCACACAACAAATCATAGAATCAAAACAATGAAATACTCCTACACTAACAACGATACTCATCGTAATCGTTCAACCAAATTCCAAACTGAACTCGTTGTTAAATTCGATTAAGACACAAGTAATCTCACAAACAGTTACGTTTATTTATGCTTTACACATCAAACAACACATCCAACAACGCAAGCAAACTGAATCTCAACAAAACTGTAAATCAACTGAAAACTAATTCACTACGAGAGCGAAGCTATCTGATAACTGAAATGTTCAACTAAACTACTTCAATTCACTGTTCAGTACAAAGCTTACCGATTTCTTTGTGACGGCATTTCTGCAATTGAGTTTAATCATTAGAGCCTTCGTTCAAAAACAATTGAGTACATCAATAGGATTGCTTTNTTTGGAATTCTTTCATCTTGAACTATATGGATCCTAACAGAAAGTATGTTGACGAAAATTGTTCGCCTAGCAACAGCTTCACTGTCCGATAATATAAGTTTCATTGGGATGGATCTTTATTCCATGAATCACTAGTGTACATTGGAAACAATGCGAATTTACGTCGTTTCATGACATATTCTTAGAATGCCAATGAAATAAGCTTTGCCAACACACAAACATACGCATACAAACACAAAACTGCGAACGCATACGAAAAAGAGAGAACCCTCTACCCCGAAAGAGCGTCGTGCATGCTGAACGATCACGTCGCAACTTCAAACAATATTCACCCAGAAAACACCAATGAGAACCCCTTAGAAAGGAAACAATAGTCAACGAAAATAATACTTTCCAGAATCCCAATATGTGAACTCATAACTTGATCATCATTAAAACGATACGCATAAAAATAAACTACTGACCATTTTTGTTCACCATTCCATCGACACCCAATTCGGCTAGTTTCCTCTCGAGCTGCGTAATCCTCTGGCGTAACTCCTCAATTGTGGCTTCCTTTTGCCTGAGTTCACGCTGCAGACGGCGATTTTGCATTTCCAAATCACTGAAAACCGCACTAAAATGTTTATTATTCTCTGATACGCAGAAGTGAACATGCTTACAATTAGTGAAATTTATAGTATAAATTCACTGGAATATATTGAAATTAAGCATTAAAGTTTGAAAAGATTGTGTGATAACTTTAAGGGAACAGTGATAATTACGTTGACGAAGATCGATTCTCTTTATCAGCGAGCAGTAATGACATCTTCTCATCGAGTTGAGAATTCTCCAGGCATTTCGCTGAATACAACGCCGATAAATGTGCCAACTCAGTTGTCATTTGTTCTAATATCTTGCTGCAATCAATAGCGTATAACTGAACAAACTCAAATGATTCAGCTCATTTCGATGTGAAATCGAAATCAAATATCATAAATCACTTCAAATTTCGTTCACGAATACAGAAAGGACGATTTCTCGAGGCACGTTTACCTCTGTCTAGTTGATGGTGCCTCGGATCGAGTAGAATCATTGCCTGAAGTTGTTGGTTGGCAGGTGCTCATCGTTGCGCCTAAACTTCGCAATTTTTCGGTCATACTCTTCAGCTCAGCCTCATGAGATCGCTGGACTGCATCTAAGGCCATCCTAAAAAGTGAGTAGCTGAGCAAAATCCCTCCACTTTCAACCAAAGCAATCAACCAAGTTTTTGTGCATCAATGAACAAGAAAGGCAATGAGATGTGATGCATGGATGGGATATGCCATGAAGAATTTTCAGTGGGATTTGAATCTGAAAAATTCCAAAACCAAAACTAATTCGTCATAACTGAAGCGATAAAAAATCTCGATCAAGCGAACGTTACAACCACGAAAAATTAACCGACAAAATGTCACATAAAAAGAAAAATTGCAACAAAAAAATCCACGATAAGAAAAGTGAAATTTGTGAACAAAAATATGGATACGACAGAATATTCGCAGCGGTTATATTTAATTTCATATGAAACAAAAAGAAACCTGGTGGCTTCTTTCTCCTCCTCCAGTTCAGCACAATGCTCTTTTTTCAGCAAATCAATCTCGTCCTCAAAATGTCGTTTCTGCTCCTCCATCAATTCCGCATGTGTTTTCTTCATGGTTTCCAACGAATGATCATTCATCTTCTGAATTTACACTTTTCACTTTTGAATTCAACAGTCAAAATCTCAAGTCCTCCGCATTCGACACTGAAGTACATGATGAAAAAAATTAAAATTAAACAATAAAGTAATACATTTAAAGTTTGCAATTCCTCCTGAGCTTTTTTCCGACGTTGTTCCTCGAATTCGACTCGTTCACGAAGCGACTTCACTTGATGCTCATACTGAATTCTTAACGATTCGATTTCGTCCGCATGCGATGCCTAATAAATTCACTTCAATTTTCTTTCAAAATTAATTGAGAATTTCAAATTCCTATGAATATCAATTCAATGTTACTTCGAATACAATAATTCTGTTCATTTTCTAAACGCGCAAAATTTTCATTCTACGCATACCGAATACAATAATTCTGTTCATTTTCTAAACGCGCAAAATTTTCATTCTACGCATACGAACGAACCTAAAAACAAAACAATGTCAACAATAGGGAAAATTTGCGACCAAAAGAAAAAATCGTTGGTTTAGTGAAAATCGCTTTGTCGGTGAACATTTCAAGACCATCATAAAATTCTCATTAAAACCAACTACACGAACTCCCCCTTTCCTTCCACCAACTCCCTCTTCCCAAACCATTCACTCACCTGCAATTCTTCAATAACATTCTCCAAGTCCTCCACATCATCGTTCAAATTGTCACGTTGCGATGTTAATTCCTCTTCTTCCTGCAACAAGTGAAAACACATTCAACCAAACAACACTTACTCGCGAAAACTTACAATGGATCTTTCTAATCAATATCTCCTGTATCAGAATTTGATTTTTCAAAACTCTTGATACCGAAAAAATGGGAAATTGCTCAAGGAGCCCTCACTTCCTTAANTTTTTGTTCTTCTATGACATATGTATAAATGTCAATTGGAAACGTGAAACGATGAAAAGTTGCAAGAAAAATACAGAATGGTGAAAGAAAAAAGAAAACGAAACAGTTGCAGAACATGTAAAAATATAATACACAGTGATCACACAGCGTTAATAATAATAATAATAATAATAACGAGTAGTGACTAGTTATTGAAGCAACAACAATAAACTTCATTAGATGCTCAAAAGATAATAACCAAATCGAATTCGAACCTTCGACGTCCCGTTGAAGTGCATTTGTGAGTTTTGGGCATAACATCGAATAAGTGCACAAAAATAAGCCATTTTTCTAATGGCCACTTTACGAGCCGCCTGTGTTTCTGGCAGCAACAACGCTGACGAATCCAGTGCTGCGGCACTGCATTTGGCCACGTTTCGGCCGCATGTGGTGGAAAGTTTGAGGTGTCGAAAACGTTCAATGACAAGTTTTTGCAGTGCTCGAACAATACTCAGAAGCATTTGTGCCATCAGTGAATAGTGATTCCAGTTGGCATGTTCACCGTTCAGAATGACCGTTTTCGAGTAGTCCACCTCACGATCGGCGTATCGCAACAATTCGCGCATCAATTGTCCATGCCCGGTGGCACTATTGCGAAGTGTCTCCCAAATCACACAAATACGACATGCGGCCACTTCTCGCTGCAAAACGTTTCGATGCGCAAACGCCAACTGATCACGTTTCGTCTGGAATCGTTCCGCCAGATAGTGCAATCGTTCCAGAAGAGCACCTCGAAACTGACTCAACGCATAACGTTGACGAGCCTCATGCAGCTGTGCGCCAGCCTCTTGCTGATGCAGTTTCATATCGAACAACGGTGCACACCAGTGCAACGACAACTGGTGCAGTTCCTCTTCCGGATGTTTGAACATATCATGCACTTGCATCAAATTCTCTTCAATTGCACTGGTCTCCAAGGATTCGTCCGTGTTCATCTTTTCTATTGCCGAATCCAACTCGACACGTAGATCCTGTTTGAGTGCGTCCAAGAAGGTGAATTTGAATTGCTGATGAAACTGTGGCAGCGCATCGTCCACAATCAAATACTTATTGAACGCGTTCATCAACGATCGTTGCAGTGCATCCAAACAACGCAATTCGTGCGCCGTTACAGCCATCCGAAGTTGTGCCAAACCACGTACACGACCCGCAAAAGAATTCGCCAACTCTTGTCGCAAAACAAATTCACCACAAATGAAACTGATCAACGATTCAACAGTGTTTCTCATATCAGCCCCTCCGACAGCACTGCCACCAGAATACACAGCAAATGTTGGCTGCAACGTTGAGGCACACCCGGACAAGTAGGCCGAGAAACGTGACGAAACTTGTGAGACAGCTTCGGCCATTGAGGTTGTCTGATTCGAATCAATTGCTGTGGTGTGAATGTTCGAATGACTAGTCAAGGAATCATGAGGATTGCTATTTTTTGTGCTCACGGATCCGATGACATCTGAATTCGCTGATGGTGGAAAGTGGCTTGAATTGAACAGTGACATGGAATCACTGTCGTGTTTCCACTTCGTCAAAACCCCTTTAACACTCTCGCTCAACTGTCTTCTTGGCGTAGCATGCAATGAGTTATTAGTACTTTTGATCATCTCTTTAGCTGAAACTTCATGCTTTCCACCCTCTTTGAAAGTGTTTTGATCAGTTTTTGGCGCTGACGTTCCGATTGCAACATTGTTTTGCAGCATCTCGCTCGAACCCTCAAATTCGGGAACACCTAAAGGTGACGAGGGATCAGTTGTTGACTCATTGGTAATATTGGCTTCGACCTTGGTACTACACACCTTGCAAATATCATCAATAGTTGCTGAAAGACTCTTTTGAGCAACATCTTCATCGCTGAAAGATGCCGATTTGGCCGATGGTCGCCTAGCTTCCTGCTTTTCGTCACTATCGTTTTCTTCTTTACTCGCAGACCAAAACCCTTTGATGAATTCACTACGAAATTTTAGTTGCTCCTCATCACACGTGTTACTCGCAGTTTTCCTCATTTTTCAAACAATACCCGTGTTAGATTGCAACTATATTAAATGAATACGCATGCAAAAATTGAAATCAATGCTTTGACGATGCGATATTTAGTATCGATCGCTCTGACTAGAAATATATTCTTCAAATATTGGTTGAATCAGGTGGCAGCAATTGAATGAAGTGATGAAAATCAACAAAATCAGATGAATGGATGAAGTGTTCCGAATTCAAACAACCACAGCATTCAATCAATTCCAAGAATTGAATCAAGCTATTAGCAAATGGCCACTGTCGATGTGCAGAATTCAAATGACATGAAAATAAACGATTCAGGTGGAAAGGACGAACAACGTGTGAGATGTTTGTGAAATAACGACAGAATTCACAGCACACCCACTAGGACAGTGTCTCTTACCGTATTCGTTTGACTTTCGGCAGTCTCAACAATACTTGCAGGTCGACTTGTTAGAAGCGTTCCAAGCTGAAACTCGAAACTCATCATTAGACTCAGAATCCGCTGAAGAAAACATCACAACTTGAAGAAGTAAATAACAACAAATACATATGATGATACACAACAGAATGGAAAACACTAGTTAAAACATATAAATTCCTATTCTCATCCGAAGTTTGCATATTTCCAACAGCTCATGTTCAGAATCGAACGCTTACACAAAAAGGCTAAAGTTATATATCCATCCATCTATTATGGATGAAAAATTCAAACTCTACTATATGGCAAAAACACGAATATGTCACAACTAACAGCTCATGCTTTCTCAGTGCCAATCAAAAGTTATCCTAACAAACGGAAATCTCTTGAGAATTTCCTTCTCGCGAACTAAAACTCAATGAAAACTTCGAGCAATCAGCTGGAAAGTACGCATAAAACTACTCAGATGAGACCTAATCAAACGATACGAATAGTTGAAAATTTTATACTTCATCACTCTATTCTATTGACAATATGTCTCCACAAACTGCAGCAGCCCGCTGAACGCAAATATCAATCGAAATGGTTGCAGACAGCTGAATTGCTTAACTAATTTACATAATCCCCGTTATATACGTCAATATTTCATTCAAATATAACCCATTCAGAGATCCATCCGAACCGAACAAAATGAATGAATCAACCACAAACGTATCAAATAAGTAGAGAGAGAGAGAGAGAGAGAGAGAGAGAGAGAGAGAGAGCAAAAAGATGTAGTGTTATCGAGCAGGTGATGCTTCATAATACTACCATTACTATAAGCAGTAATAATGAACAGCGAGAAATATCATCGAAGAGCGAAACTGAAGAACAGATAAAAATTCTCCAAAAAAAGAAATTCTGATTCAGGCAGCATTCATTCAACGTAGTCAGCTATTTGTATTCCATTTTATTATCGTAAAATCTGTGGCTATCGAAACCAATATAATGATTATACAATACAATAACCTGACCAAATCAACTGCATGTTATTCTAAACATTTATAAATATTTCTTTAGGGAGACTGGTCGCCTAACTGGATCCGTACCACAAGATTCAATTATCAGTTACAATACTTTCAGATTCAAAACTGAGAAATACTATTTCAACGATTCGCTGATAAAGACGATGCTAAAGCATTTAGAGAAGAAAATTAATTCAGTAGAAATTGAAGGAATAATTGAATATAAATGAATGTTTCGATGAACTGGAAGAGACTGTGAAACAAGCAAGAGAGCGAAACATCAATGGAAAGATTGAAATTCAGAACAGACTCTTGAAATCAATTCCGAACACCTTGCTGCTCTCACCACGTGCACATTATACTTCCTCAATAACACGGCGCCAATACTATTCCAAGCATTGCAAAGCATTATTCCAGAAATAATTTCCTATTGTTCTCAAAAAATCGCTCCATATTCCGAAACAAGACAACAATTAATTTCGTTTGCAATCAGCGACTACGCATAAACACAGTTGCATAAACAATTGCAATGTTTTGCACGAGTCTGATCGCATGAAGCACTCAGCGGTTCATTGTTCCGATAAAACTAAACGTATCATTCAGTTCCCACCTCACCGCTTCTCTTCAAGTTTTCCGACCGATTAAAGAAGCCTGAATAAACCAAAATCGCAGCATTGCTAAGCGGAGATAATGCGAAATGAAAACAGTCATCTGAGCTGCTGCTGTGCAAATTATTGCACAAAACGATGAGTATATGCGAGCGTTTGAACTGAACGGCAATGATGTGAATGTGACTATCAAAAGATGATTAGTTTTAGTTTTATTCTGAGCATGGCTCTTATCAGTCACAGAACGCGCTTATCAACTAATAACTGCCAATGATTGGGTATATTTTGTAAACAAATCAATAGTCACTAAAGGAGAGTGAGAATGCAAGTTTGAATGACTGAAAATGCTCGAGATTGTTAACGTGATTAAATAAATGAATGCAAAAACTTCGTCGCAGAGAAGCACTTGAATGAATACACAGCCAACAATTAAATTCATTTTTGTGCTATATAAACTGTACGCATGTGAATTTGAATACGTATCGAATATCGTCTGAATTAGATGCAAATACCTCGAAGCACACACACACATCACTGATTATACAGAAACGAACCGTCAGAAAATCCTCAAAATCTCAATGAAGACCGTACAAATACGATACTGAAGTTTTCGGACAAACCAATTTGACAATTGAATGATCGCAAGAGGATACATTACGGCGCAAGACATTACGATAGCATCTCGTAGATTAACTCAAGAAGGCAATCAAAACAAAGCGATGAGCTTATGGTACTTTGCTCTTACGAAAATAAGCTTGCTTATGGTACTTTGTTCTTATGCCATTGGATGAATTCAGAATTGCATCAAACATTCAAAAGCTGTAAAATGTATTGAAGAATATATATGAAATTTGTACTAGAGTATTCAAAAGACACTGAAATGAAAACAACAGAAAATAAGCGAAAAAGTACAAATGAAATGAACCTGTTCGTAGGCATCCGAAAGCTGTTGCATTGTATCGATGAACGGTTGAATATCGTTGGAAGCGAATTGCGGGTTGGTGGTATTACTACTGTTGGGTGGCGACGAAGATGTTGTTGATGGAGAGGATAACGATAATGAATGATCAAGATTTGTGACCATTCGAATGAGTTGATCTGTGATCGGTCTTAATTGACCCAAATCTATCGAACTGATCGATAAATGAACAAATTTCGAGAGTGCACCAACTTGAATCTTTAATAATGAGATCAACTGATTGAGAATCACGTCGGGACTGAAATTGTTTCATCGATGAACATTTAATATTCCACATTCATTCGTTGCTAATTATCACAATAATAATCATCATAATAACTTGAATTCATGTCAACGTTATCGGACTATACGAAGATAGTTCACTGAATACATTTATAAACACTCATACGTATATGCGCAAAATTAAGATTATTCCCAATGATTCTTCTTGAAAACAACGGAAACGGCATATTTCAAAAAACTTTCATAGAACAAGCGAAATTGTTCTATTATTCGATGAGGGTTGAAAGGCAATTCATTGAATTCCAACGACACTACAAGAATCTCAAATCTACTCTCCTGAATATACATTATGCAAAAATTCTCATATGTTATCCTCAGATCAAATATTCAATAAACCTTTATTTAAAAAAACCCAAATTTACAGTCGAAAAATAAGCAGCGAACCATTGTTGCGAAGGATTCAACTCAGAAGTTGGCGTGACAAGTTGCTGCCGTAATGTCTCCATTTCTTGTTGTTTCTTGATAATATCTTGCTCGGCAGCCGTGAGACTCTTACGAAGTTGAGACAAACCTCGTGCCTTAATGAGAGCAAAATTCAACTATTAATCAATTCAAGATACCTGAAACAACCAACAACAAAGAGAAAGAGACTAAATTACTAAACTGAACAGATTGAACATATCTCAACAAGTAAGAGATTGAAACATAATTATAATCGAATATGAATTAATCTTGCTGTCTCGAAATGAACACTACAACAACAGTAACACTCACGTCATTGCTCATGAATAAATACCGAAGTCGTTCATTTTCATTTCGTGTTTCACCCAATTTACATGTCGTATCGTACAGCTGCTCTCTCAACGATTGTACCTGAACAATCAACACATTCATTCATTGTCTTGACGTTTGCAGTGAGCTATACCTCACCTCAATGTGATCATTTATACCTGACTTTTCATGATAACTATTAATGTCATCATCTTTACTGATATTGATATTGGTGTTATTATCATTTCTGTGATCACGACCACTATAATAGATCACCATTAATATAACATTTCTCATGTAATCAATATTGCTTATCCTTATCACAGTTATCAACANAGAGAGAGCAATCAAAACCATTTGGAATTCTAAAATAAGATTCACAAATAACCTCAGTAGCGAACTGATCGCAAACATTTGGAAAGATCCGATGCAGAATACAGTAACAATGCATCTTATCGGGTACACTAGAGCAATTAAAAGCAACAATTCAAGTCAATACTGTCAAGGCTATTGATTAGCTGAATATTGCGAATGAAAATAAGTGGAATATAAGCAGAACAAAACCAATACGGATGAATGAATATACAGTTGAACTGCTCTCAATACCACAATATGATCATACCAATAAACGTATGGAAGCATCTAATATGCATACGTTCACATATATGCTTTACGATAACTAATTTTTCAGTTCTAATGCAAATATGTATAATACGCTAAAACTCATCGATTTTTCTGAATCAGATTATGTTTTGATAACGCCACACAGAACTGGTCCGGCCAGAGCATTACACCCGCATCAAAGAATGCATTCGAATCTGATCACAAACACTACTATATCATGCCGAATGCTGCAACAGCAACTCCGCTAAACGGTAACTTGATATCACACTGACTGTATTCCATCGTAAGCACCTAGTTGATTATCAATGTAGGGATGGATCACTGTTTTCGAGTTTTTCGATGCTAAAGTCAACTATTGTCAAATCATGAAAAATGGACAGCTTTAGAGTGATATTCTGAGAAAATGCTAAAAAAATTCGATGCATTCTATTGAAAGACCACAAGTT